ATTTGCAACATCGGATAACATAATCTATAGCGTAGCAACTACGAAAACTAGTGGGTTGTGAGTATTTGCGCTTCTCATCACCTCACGATTTGGCAAAAAATCAAATCAATCGGCTGCACAACACCGAAACCCGTTCGCTAAGTGCGCTATTCGCTTACGTCGTAAAACCGAGGCGTGCTTGTGATAAAAGGACACCTAGAAAAACGGGAAAACGCAAAACCGAGTCCTGTAATATGTATACCAGGACCAGATATTTTCGCTCCGTATACTACGTAATACTGCAGAAATCAAAGGAAACCTCATCGGGAAAATGAACAACCAAGTGGTGGTCAGAAAGATCTTTTTTTTCTCTTGATGATGACTATCCAAGGCAACCACACAGGGTATGGTGAGGATAATGATAATGACAATGAGTATATAATAATATAACTAGAAAGTGATAAAAAATAACCATTAATAATGAAATAAACGTATTAATAGAATTAAAAATAGAATTGGCCATCTGTGCCTTAACACATTACAGGAATGGGAAACCAATAACTAATTGTTAAGGATGAATCACGTTGCAATTGTCCAATGAAATTAATAACCTCTCACCCTGTTAATATACATGAAAACCTACTATCAGGTAAAGACTACATCTAAACATAGAAAGCAAAAGCCAGCCGATAACAGTAAATGTGTATACACTAACCCTAATTCCTCTATGTAAAATACAATAGACATCAAAATCTACCTAATCTGGATTTCATCAAGACACCACCAAAAATATAGCAGGCACATGGCTTGTGAACACATCGAGCTTATAGGCAGCTTTCTTTAACAATTATTTAAACATTCCCATCAACCGACTTCATTTATCAGTCTCATCGGCTGGTTGCACACATGCACCTCTACCTCCAATACAACCAGATGATCAACTACAAAACGGATGACCTCTATACCAGACACAATTCTGCGTAGAAGAAGCTGATCTGTGAATATCTCTGAAATGTGATATATGCCACCACCAGTGAGTACATTAAACACTGCTACATGCCACCGTCAAGCATTAGTGATAACCCAAATTTGCCCTCAAAGGCACAGCCCATGCTAGCATCTTCAGATATCAGGAACCACTGGCAGGATACACTGGGTTACTTCATAAATATCGCAAACATACAAAAATAGCAATCGTCGCTGCAGTACGCTAGCACAGGAAAAGCTAAAAGCTAAGCGCACACACTACCGCCACCATCTACGTAAAGAGTAACAATGAGACATCAACAGAACCGACTGCAACACTATGGCTTGGGGGCAACACGTAAATCCTAGCCCTTGGCACTAGCACTAGCAGCTTCACTCTGGTTTAGCCTTGGCGTTCTTGACAATGTCGGGGATCTCCTGCCGCGGCGGGTTGAAGGTAAGGAACATGATGTGACGCTCGTACTGCTTGGTGACACGGAACAGGCTGTCGGTACCATGCAGGCGATCGAGGATTCCAAGCACACCGTAGTTCTGGTTGAACCTAGAGACAGCGAAGGGTTTCTTATACATAAGAGCAGGAGCTAATAATGACAAATTAGATTGATTAAGACAAAGCTAATAATTCGTTGTCAAATTTAACATGGCCGTTGTGAAAATGTTCCTGTATTTACTGATGAGTATATCCTGTATCTATATACCTATAAGTATA